GAGAGAACTGGAGGGGCTATATTAATATTAAATGAAATAGACTTTAAGACTGAAATTGGGGGCCAGCCCTGTGGCCAAGTGGTTAAGTTCGCACGCTCTGCTTTGGCAGCCCAGGGTTTCACAGGTTCAGATCCTGGGTGCAGACATGGCACCACTCAGCAGGCCATGTTGAGGCAGCGTCCCACATGCCACAACCAGAAGGACCCACAACTAAAAAATATACAACTGTGTACTAGGGGGATTTGAAGAGAAAAAGCAAGACAAAAAAAGATTTAAAAAAAGACTGAAATTGTTGCTAGAGATAAAGGAGGACATTTTATAATGATAAAAGGGTTGATTCATCAAGAAGATATAGCAATTATAACCATATGTGTACCTAACACCAAAGCCCCAAATACACAAAGCAAAACTGACAGACGGAAGGAAGAAATAGACAATTCAACAATAGTAGTTAGAGACATCAATTCCCCACTTTCAGTAGTGGTAGAACAGTGAAGCAGAATATCAACAAGGAAATAGAAGCTTGAAAAACGTTATAACCTACCATACGCAGCAGATGTAAATGAAACAGTTCACCCAAAAACAGCAGAAAACACATTCTTCTCAAGTACTCACATAACATTCTCCAAGATAGGCAATTATATTAGGCCATAGAGCAAGTCTCAATAAATGTAGACAGATTGCAGTAATACACAGTATGCTCTTCAACCACAATGGGTTGAAATTAGCAGTCAGTAACAGAAGAAACTTCACAAATATGTGGAAATTAAATCACACACTCCTAAATAACCAGGGGTTCGAAGCAGAAATCATAAGAAAAATTAGTAAATACTTTGAGATAAATGAAAATGAAGACACAACATACAAAGATATATGTGGCTAGCATTACCTGATACTAAAACCTGAAAAAGATAATATAATAAAAGGAAATTGTAGACCAATTTCCTTCACAATCACAGATATAAGAACCCTTAGCAAAATATCAACAGGTCCAATACAGCCATATGTGGAAAGGATAATATATCCTGTCCAAATTTGGTTAATCCCAGGAATACAAGGTTGGTTTAACATACAAAAAGTTCTATTTCAGTATAATTCATATTAGCAGAACATACAATAAGCATACAATCATTTTAGTAGATGTAGAAATTTTGTTAACTCATTTGACAAAATTCAACATCCGTTAACGTTTAAAAAAAAAAAATCTCAGTAAAATAGGAATGAAAGGGAGCTCTCTCAGTGTAATAAAGGGCATCTATGAAACACCTACAGCTAACATCATGATACTGAAATATAGAAACTGTTCCCCCAAAGGTTGGGAACAAGAGAAATATCTTGTTCACAGCTTGTATTCTACTTTGTACCAGGGGTCCTAGCCGGTGCAATGAGTTAAGAAAAAGAAATAAAAGACATACAGGTTAGAGAGGAAAAAGTATAACTGTCTTTATTCACAGATGACATGCTTGTATATGTAGAACATAATGCAATCTAAGGAATCTGCAAAACAGCTACTTACTAGATCTAATAAGTGAACTTGGCTAGGTAGTGGGACACAAGGTTAAGATTTAAAATCAATTTTATGTCTATATACTGGCAGCAAGCAATTGCAAAGTGAAATTAAGTAATCTCCTTTACAATAGCAATAAAATAACATTAAACACTTAGGAATATATTTAACCAAAAACATGTAAGACCACTACACTGAGAACAACCAAATGCTGTTGTGAGAAATTAATGGAGATTTACATTAATGGAGAGATACAACATGTTTATAAGTTGAAAGAATCAATAATGTTAAGATAATTCCTCCCAAATTGATCTGTAGATTCATTGAAATTCCCATAAAAATTCCTACAGGTTTGCTTTGTGTGTGGAAACTGGAAAAGTAGTTCAGAAATTTATGTGGAAATGCAAAGGATCTAGATTAGTCCAAAAAAGTTTGAAGAAAAAAAGTTGCAGGACACATAGTACTTGATTTCAAGACTTAATACAAGCTACAGCAGTTAAGAGACTAGGGTATCGACAGAAGGATAGATGACTAGATCAGTGGAACAGAATGGGGAGCCCACACATAAATGTTTGACTGACTTTTGACAAAGTTGCCAAGAAAATTCACTGGGGAATGTCAAGTCTTTTCAACAAATGGTGCTGAAACAACTCGATAAATCTATGGATAAAAATGAACCTTGATCCCTACTGCATACCACACACACAAAGTAATTTAAGAGGGATTATAGATAGAAACATTAAAAACTGAAACCATACAGCTTCTAGAAGAAGGAAATATTAAATACCTTCATGACCTTGAGGAAGGTAAAGATTTCTTAGAAAGGACACAGAAAACTAAACATAAAATAAAAATTGACAGATTAGTCTTCATCAGAATTAAATTCTTCTCATCCAAAGATACCATTAAGAAAATGAAAAGGCAAGCCATGGAATGGAAGAAAGTGTTTTCAATACATATACTGACAAAGGGCTTCTATATAGAACATATAAAGAAATCCTACAAATTGATAAGAAACAGACTAACAACCCAATAAAAAGGGATCAAAGACTTGAACAGATACTTAACGTAAGGAGTTAAAAGAATGACCAATAAGCACCCGGAAGATGTGCCCAAGATAATTGTTCATCAAGGAAATGTCAATTAAAGCTACAACGAGATAGCATTTTACAACCAGTTGCATGGCTACAGAGACTGACAACGTCGACTGTTGGTGAGTGTGTGGAGCAGTGGGAACTTTCACACTTTGTTGGTGAAGACATAAAATGGTACAACCACTTTGGAAAATGTTAGAAACGAAAAATCCAGCAAAGATGCTCCCAATTCATAGACATTTAATGGAATTAGTTAGAAGCAGTTTGAAGTTTCTTACAAAGTTAAGCATACCCTAACCTAACATATTCACTTCCAAGGAAATGAAAATGTGTGTCCACACAGAGACTTGAACATTAATGTTCACAGGAGCTATGTTCATAATGGCTAAGAGCTTATAATAGGACTAATGTCCATGAACGGGTGAATGGTTAAATGAATTGTGACACAGTCATACAGTGGAATAATACTCTGCAGTTAAAAAGACTTTACTACTGATACATCCAACAACATGGTTCAATCTCAAACATATTGAGTGAAAGAAGCCAGACATAAAAGAACATATACTGTGTGATTTCATTTATATGACAATCTAGAGCAGGCAAATCTATGGTGAGAGAAAGCCCATCAGTAGTTGCCAAGGGCCAGGGAGGGTGTGTTGACTGCAGAGAGGCACGAGGGAACCTTTTTGGGTGATGGAAATGTTCTATATCTTGATTGTGGTGGTGTTTGCAGAGTGGTGGTGTTTGAAAAACTCATAATTTATGTACACTTAAAATAGGTGCATCTTATTTTATGTAAATTATGCCTTAATGAAGTTGATTTTTTAAAAATACTGCCAAGACCAAACTTTGTCATGGATGTACAATGACTGAAATTCTCAGACATACACTTTAAAATGATACTTTGGAAAACTCTTTGGCAGTTTCTTATAAACTACATCTAGGACCCAGCAATTCCACTTCTAGGTATTTACCTAAGAGAAATGAAAACAAATATCCACGAAAAGGCTTCTACAAGGATGTCCGTAGTGGCTTTTTTGTAATAGCCCACAACTGGGGCCTATGTTCAGCAACAGGATAATAGATAAGCAAATTGTCATATAGTCCCCCAGCAGAATAATACTCTGCAATCAAAAAGAATGAATTACTGATCTATAAAACAACATAGTTGAATTTCAGAAACATTATGTTAAGTGGAAGAAGATAGATACAGAAGAATGCGTAAGGTATGATTCCATTTAAATGATGTTCAAGAACAGACAAAACTAACCTATGGTGATAGAAATTCAGCCTTGGTTGCCCAAGAGGGTAAGGACTGACTGGAAGAGGCACAAGGCAGCTTTCTGGGTGGTAGAAGTTTTCTGTATCTTGATTGGAGTGGTGGTTACAAGAATATACATTCATGAAAACTTGTTGAATTATACATTTAAAATTTATACATTTCCTTGTATGTAATTTTTACTTCAAACACACACACCTGCACACAATAATTTAACAGATTAAATTATATCTGTCAATAATTTGACAGATAAGTAGAATGTTTCTGGTGTTTCTCCTAAATTATTTGATGTGCTCAGATTCATATTAAGGGCCAGTAAAGACAGAAGAAAGACAGCACTGTTTGAGTAGTGTAATTGGCCAATAGAGAAAAAAAGATAATTTGATGTACATAAGGACAGCTAATTTCACTTAAAAGCCACTTAGTAACTGTGTGATCTTATGCAGTTTAACTTAACTCTGTGCCATGCACTTTGTTGTATGTAATAAAACTTAAGGCTGTAAGAATCAAATAAGTTACTATGTACCAAGTGCTTAGATTGCCTTGTACATAGTAAGCATTCACATATTATTTGCTATTCTTATTTACTTAGTTTTCATTCTTATTCTTACTTTTTTATTATTTTTATTTTTTCCTCCCCCATAAAGGACAGGCAGGTAAATAAAATGATGCATTTACTTCTTCACACTCTAATGCCGTTATTAACACCCTCCTTCAATTTATAGCTCTCCAAAAGCTATTTGCCCCTCTTACTTTGCCAGCTTCTGCTTGTCTTTCAAGACTGTTCAGCTTCAACTCTTCCCGGAAGCTTATGCCTGACTGCTGCGTCAGACATACTTTTCTTTATCCCCCAGCATCCTCTATTCACTTTCATTGGTCAAGTTGTCTTGTAGTACTTGGTTTTCTTCAGTTTCTTTTGCTACATAGTAGACTTTATGAGGCCAGATACAAAGTCTTACTTTTCATTGTGCTCAGATCCTTGTCTGGTACAGGGTAATCCTCAGTTATCCTGGAGTGAGCGCATGAGTACCATAAAACTTTCCTCTTGCATGTTTCTGTTTGATAGCCACAGCATTAAAATAATGTCGCTTCATCTATTTTTATCAACTTTGACTTTCAGATTTTCTTTCTTGGAATTATCCTGCTTCCAATTCGTGCCTTATTGGTTGCATTAATTTTATTACTGGCATGGCCATTTGCTGCGATTTCAACAGCATGCTGTCCTGAAAAGCTGACCCACCCAGTAACTGGTTGGAGGAGGTAAGAAATAGTTATGTCTAAATATTAGGTAAATCGAGTTAAAGAAGAGTCTATCATAGTTTAGTCAGTGATCAGTAGTTTTATCTAACTGCTACCCATTCAATTTGAATCATTTATTTTTCTCAGGTGAAACTCTTCTTAATTTATCTTATGTAGAAATTACTGCCCAAGCACAGTATGATTGAAATTATAATTTCCTAATATCAAAATATTTTGTTTTCTGAGTTATTGCCAAAAAGTGGTAGATCCCTCGTTCTGAAAGACTCAATTAGTGTACCTGAAACCAGTACAGCTGAAACATACCTGGCTTTCTTTTGTCCTTCCTCAGTTTTCACATTTGATTTTGTCCCCCTATAATAGCTACATATTTTCTGCAGTGGTGTAATTAATTGGATCAATTATATAGTGATTATTAATAAAAGTTTAATTATTATTATAGCCTAGCTTTTTTTTTCTTTTTTGGTAAGGAAGATTGTCCCTGAGCTAAGATCTGTGCTAATCTTCCTCTATTTTGTATGTGGGACACCGCCACAGCATGGCTCGATGAGCAGTGTGTGGGTCTACACCCAGGATCTGAACCCACGAACCCTGGGCTGCCAAAACAGAGTTCACGAACATTAACCGCTACACCAGTGGGCTGGCCCCTAGCCCAGCTTTTTAAAATGTTAGCATTGAGGCAAAATGGAACTGCTTCTCAAGCTCTATCTAATTAGCATGGTATTAGAAAAGAGACTGATGGTGAATTAACAAAATTACTGGTAAAAGTTCATTCCTCTTTGGCAGAACCAAATTACCACCATCTGTGTGTCCTGAAAGTGTGAGCTCCTACTGTGGACTCCGTGGATTTCATAGGAATCCATCTGTGAAATCCATAGATGGGTTTTAGGGTACTGTTGAACTCTGAACTTGCACATGTTTTTTTTTCTACATAAGCATTTATTCCTTTCATCCAAACCTGAAATGAGAATATGTACTCCAAAAATTTTGAAAAACAATGTTCTAGAAACTTTTCAAGAAATATGCAGTTTGCTGTTCGATTCATGTTCTAGTAAGCAAATGTCAATATTAAACACAAGGCTGGTTTGAAGTGAAGCTGAATCTGATGCTGGTGATGACCCCCAGAGAACTAATGCCACCTCAATCCCTGAAAATCATGTTCCTTTGTTTTTTTAAAAAATAACATTCAAGGTTGCATGTTATTAAAAAAAAAAAAAAAAAAACTTCAAGGGCTGTTTTCATGACCCACCAATTCCTTTCAATTATTTCTTTGGTGTCTATTGTTAATGGGCTATGAAAACCTATGATGATGGAAGAAACAGTCTAAGAATCCAGAAAACAGATGTAACAACTGTTAGAAAAGAAAGTTCTGCTTTTGTTAATTAAGCCAGGATCTCTACCTCGTCTCAAATAGGTAACGTTGAAGTTATTATGCAGCACCAGACTTTTGGTCACTTTTTAGACATTTAAATAGAGGTGTTTATGGCCCTGAATTTGGGATACTTTGGAATGTAGTTGTTAGAAGCTACATCACTATAAATCAAAAGTAGGCGGTATGGAAATTCTGTGAAGGGGTGAGCTTTTTATTCTTACATAGAGATCTCAACTCTAAACTACAGGACAAGAAGGCGGGTGCGGTTATTTCCCTGTGCCCTCCGGAAAAGCGCTTTGGCTTTCTGTGTCTCACTTCTCCTTACTGTGAAGTAAATGTCAGGGGAACTTCCTCGGTAGTTAGTTGCTTAATAGCTCCTCCCTATATTGTGATAAGAATGTCGAGAGAATTAGATAGGAAGCCTATTTGTAAACTTCTCATTAGGTGTCTTATGGGAGATGTACGTATTTTATTTTTCATGAAAAGCTATATGCTTATTCATGTACTGAGATGTGCATCCCGTGTTTGCATTTCTACGAGTATGTTTTTGTTTCCCTTGATTGAGTTTATCAAGGACAGAGACTGGCTTTTACTTGTCCTGTGTGTCCAGCGCAGTTCCTGGCACAGTTTGATGAATGAGTTAATCCTTAATGATAGATTTCTTTTTAAAGAGTAAACGGTTAGGTTTCTGGAATTCAGTGCATCTCTGTTCTAAGAAGGCGAGTTAGCAAATTCACTTCTTAAGATTCTTGATGATATCTAAGAGCTGTAATGGTATAGATAACAAACCTTACTTTAAAAAAACTTTTTCCTCAAGTAAGTCGGAGAGAGTTTTAGCATGAGAGTTCTGAAAGTGTTTTGGGAGATAGTGCATCTTTGTTAAGTAAGTGGAGATTCCCAAGGTGACTTCTCTGAAGGGCATTACTCATTTGGGTTTCTCAGTGGGGGACATTCATTCTTGTCACTTTATAGTCACAGAATAATGGAGATATGTGTTGGCCAGATGTCCCTGGGAAAATTACTTTACTTCTCTGTGCCTCAGTTTTCTCAGCCATAAAATGGGGGTAATCGTAAATAATACCTATTTCATAAAATTGGGCTGATGATTAAAGACATGAAGCACTCTAAGGTATTCAGAATAGTGTCTGGCAGCAAGAGCTGCATGTAAATGTTAGCTGTTTTTAGCTACATTTTAAAATAAAGTGTTCTGACATGTTTGTTTTGATATTGTGTTTTAGAGTGATGCCCTGCTGTTAGCTACAGTTAGCCAAGCTAATTAGGTCTTTTTTATATTTCTTTCCAAAGGAAAATTACCCAACCGGTTTTGAAGTTCCTGGGTCGTGCCTTGTTCTTTTCAATGGGATTTATAGTTACTGTGAAAGGAAAGGTCGCAAATGCTGTGGAAGCCCCAATTTTTGTGGTTGCCCCTCACTCAACGTTCTTTGATGGGATTGCCTGTGTCATAGCTGGCTTACCGTCTATGGTGTCTCGAAATGAGAATGCACAGGCCCCTCTGGTTGGCAGTAAGTACTTGTAAGATAACATAGATAAAACATTTTCCTGCTCATGCTTTCAATTTAAAAAATCATGTATTTCATTGGTAGACTTTTAAAAAACTTTAAAATAAAACATTTCAAACATATTTCCTTTGTTTTAATGAGGCACCATATTGAAAGAATGAATTTAATCAAAAAAGATTAGAGACTTCCCTATCTGTACCCTTATAATCTTTTTTCTTAAGTCTTCCCTTCATCAGTGAACCGTCACCTCTTTCTAGTCAGATCAGTTTTCAAATACCAAACATACTTGGTTTTTCTTTAGAGAGAGAACTGAACCAAAGAATTTTCGAAAACGCAGGTTACATGCTATTTCATGAATTTCTCTTCAGGGTATTAGGCTGATAAACAAGCTAAGTCTTTTCTCCTAACTCTGTTTTCTTCGTTATTGCCCCCAAATCTCCATGAGGGACCAGTGTGTAACTCTTTGAAAATTATGATGTGGAAGAATAAGTGCTTCCTGCCATAAAAAATAATGAAGCAGGGGAAATGTTTTTCCCACCAGATCCTTTGGTCTGTCCCTAAGGTGTTAGTTTCCAGGTAACTGCTCTGTGTTGTCCCGGGGTTACTGCAAACATCCAGCGATGAGAGAGTGGGTGTGAAAGGCCTCATGCTGCCTTGGTGCTCTGCAGAAATAATAGGAGTTCTTGCAGCTTTGTCATTCAGCTGAGAAATACACACTCTCTCTCTCTCTCTCTCTTTTTTTTTTCTGCGTAACCACTTTGCTTTGTGTAATATGGCATTTTCCTGAAAAGTAGTTAAGCACTAGATTTTTGGTGAATTGAGGTTGATTTTGCACATCCTAGGAAGTAACCTACTCACTAGACTGTTGTGCTAAAAATTTTAGTGAAATCAATATTAATTCCCGCTGCTTATGTGTACTGTGAATTCACATAATCAGTTTTCAGGATATTGCTAAAATAAAACAAGATATTCTGGTAGTATATTCCACAGGTTTAATGTCAATTGAGGAAGAAGACCCCGAGAGAGAAAATTGCCTTTGCTTCTTTTCGTATTCTTGCTGCTAACCTCTGTTAAATCAATGAAATCTTTCTAGGTGTAAATATCCACCTCTCCTTTTGAAACCGAAAGCTATGTTGTAGTAAAATTTGAATTGGAATTTTTTTTTTTAAGTTGTCCTCTTTGATTTGCTAAATTTTAATTTGCCATAAAATTTGTTTCATGATTTATCCAGTATCATTACTGTGGTAGCTTTAGCCAAAAAGAAAAATGACTTGGGTGTGACTTTTCATTTGTTTTAAAGGACTGTTACGAGCTCTTCAACCAGTGCTGGTGTCCCGTGTTGATCCAGATTCTCGAAAGAACACAATAAATGAAATAATAAGGCGTGCCACTTCAGGAGGGGAATGGCCCCAGGTAAAAAGCAGTAGATGTTCATTTAAATATATTGAGAGTTTATTTATTTTACATTTGTAAATGTACTCATTTGGATCCACAGATAGCAATATGTGGGAACACTTATGCTAGATGCCTTTTGCATAATAGAAGCAGAAAAAATGAGTGAGTGTCAAGAAGTCCCCTTCCCATGAGATACTCCATGGACTTAAATGTATCATTCTTTTGTATTCTTCAAACCCTTGGAACCAACTTTTATTTTGTATCATGAAAAGTAATTCTCTACCTGTGCCTTCATTTGCCATTTTAAAGATGAGGTACTGAAGTGCAATATACTCGACAGTAGGGTGGGTTTATTGAAAAAGTGATTAAAACGTTATATCTTATCTGAAGTATGTTCAGATATGCTTTTTAGTTCGGGAGGTGTATCAGAATCATGTGTAGAACTCATCCAGCTTTACCATCTCACCACCCTTTCCCCTGAAATGCCTTTTGAAGATGAGGAAGGGGCAACTTTCATTGGATGGAGAAAGCCTCATGGGTGATTCTGATGTGTCCCTCTACCTGTGCCCAGGTGATGTCTAGCAGAACTAATGGTTTTGCAGTGACTTGGTCACCCATGATGATGTGTGATGTCAAAGCACCAAGAGCAGTATGACCAAGGGGTTTTGGAAACCAAAGCATATGAGGAATGATTTAAAAAGTAACTGGGAAGAAAGGACATTTGGAATAAGGGTTTGATTTCTCTCTTTGGATCCAAGTAATATATCTAGGACTGGGAGGGGAAAGTTCACAAATAGATAGATTTCACCTCATTTTACTCATCCTGAGGAACTTTCTGTCCAGAGGTAGAATGGTCTGATGTGGAATCCTTTTCTGGAATTTTCAGGCATTGGCTAAGCAGCCACTTGGGGGGGATATTGTAGAAAGAATTCAAGCATTAGAAATACTCGATGACTTTTAATGCCCCTTCTAGCTCTGAGATTTTAGGATTTACTCCCTATCCATTCCTTGTGAATAATGTAACTATGGAATTTCCACTGAATGATTTGTATTTGATACTGTATCTGATTGTGAAATCAACCCATTTTTTTAAATTCGGGAATGGAATTGCACCTATTCATAACTTTTATTTTACAGATAACTTCTTTTTATGGCAATTTAGCCTAATAATGCTTTCCCTCTCTGTTATGAAATACACTAAGTAAATACACACACTAACTACAGTGAGTGTAGGAGTTTTCTTACTTTATTTTATATACTTAGCAATTTCCTCATTGCTAAAGCCTAAAAGCTGCAGAAAATCAAGCTGCTGTTTTATTCACTTACTGGGGAAGCTAACTCTCCTGCAGTCCTTCATAGGAAAAACATGAAGGAGTATGTTAAAAGCTAAAAACGCTTCCTCAAAAAAAATTAAATTGTATTCCATATGTCAACTAATTCAAATAAGCATAAGGCCTATTGTAAGCATTTCCCCCTTTGTCCTCCATACTTCCCTAAACTATATGTTGTAGGAGTGAATAGCAGTTAGTAGGAAAACTAAAACACAGAAGTAGGGAACGATTTGGTTAAGGATGTCCAGGAGTAGAAGACAGGATTTAATGTACGCTTTGACCATCACTTAGGGTCTGTGTCCTCTTTTAAAGTTATTCAGATCATAGCATCATCATTAAGAAACATTTACTAAGTGTATTCCCTATTCAAAGTTTTAATCCATTTTCTAATTATCTTAATGACCAGACTCCACTTCTTTTAGAGGAAAACCGAATAGTCTAATTCTAGCTTTCATTAGTCAAGTGTTAGCCTTTTATGTCATTTTTGTTTTGTAAAGACTGGCAGCTATTTGTGAAATCATAAGAAAGCAAGTAAAGAGGTAATCTATTAATTAGACTGAAATGTTAAATCTTTTCCTTTTCTCCCAAGATGCTAGTTTTCCCAGAAGGTACTTGTACTAATCGTTCCTGTTTGATTACTTTTAAACCAGGTGAGAGAAATTAAATTATGTATCATGACAAAGTAGTGTGGAAGGTTTCTCAAATGATTTGACAGTAGTACACACAATGACTTGTTAGTTTGCTCTGAGCTTTTCTTCTTTTCTGATTAAAAGTTTTAAATGTTGTGAATCTACTCTTTTACTTTCTCTTTTGGTATCATAACCCCTTCTTCCTTGGAGTGTCCTGGGGGGTGTGTGTGTGTTTCTGTGTGTGTGTGTGCCTGTCTGTCTGTCTGTCTGTCTGTGTCTGTTGTTTGAGCAGGAACCACTGGCAGATTTTTCTTTTCTTCCAAGGATCCCCTCACAGACAGCTGGGGTCCTGTGTCATCAAGTAGGAAACCGATTTCAGTTTTCATTATAATGCCTTCAAATGCCTTCTAGAGTTCACTCCTTTTTTTAATATTATGAAGTCATGAATTTCATAGTAATGTGTAATTTCATGGTAATTGGTGACACTTTAAGACATTTTTGTGTTGGCTGCTGGAATGCTCAGCCAAAGTTAGAACTGACTTCCAGCAAGTGTGCTAGCTCTTGCTTTAAGCACTTGGTTTCACCTAGATTTTCTTCTCCTTATTTTCCCTTTGTCTTGATTTTATCATTACTTTTTTAAAAACAATCCTGTTGAATAATAGGAATTTGGAAAATGAAAACAAGTGGAGATGTAAACTAATAAATATTTTAAGTGACTTAGATACATTTACTATTTTGCTTACATAATTCTGAATTTTAAAAATCTCATTTTGGTAGACACTAGGGATTTACCAACATATAGCAGATTGTTTATGTGTACTCTTAAAACATTCAGTATATGTGTGCCATTTGTTATTAATGTTTTCTTTATTGTAAAACTTGTATTCATATAAAGAACATGTCATAAAATTTCTGTGTGGCTACAGGGGCCTTCATTCCAGGAGTTCCCGTTCAGCCAATCCTCCTCAGATACCCAAACAAGCTGGTAAGCATAGCACTTTACTATGGGAAGAATTGCACCATCCCAAACAGCGCAAATTCTCTAGGACATCTTTTTGTATTTGAATAAAGGTATGAATAGATAAATGGTGGAAGCAGATGGATAGACTCATTTTCTTTGCCACATTTAGTTTTCGAAAGTTTTCAAGATAGGCACATATTTGTTGATATCAATGTTACCTATTGTTTTTGCTCTTACTAAGCTACAGGAGGACATTTCCTCAGCTGCTGCTCTATTGTCACTATGATGGGATGATACAGTCTCAGACTCAGGATCTCATTAGACTGGATATTAGGAAAGTTGCATAAATTTGTGATTTTCGTTAAGCCTAGAAGGAAACGTTTCCAGATTCAATCCATGGTCATTACTGGTGGAGAAGGATTGAATTAGTAGCATAAATTTGGGATAGGCTTGGTGTTTAATTACTAGCTCAGTGCTTGCTAGCTGTGTGACTCTTGGCAAGCAGCTTAAATAAGAGACTTTCTGAAAAGAACCTAACATCCTATAGAAGAACCACAGTTGGCTCAGAGCCTCTTCTGCTCCAGCTGGCATATTGTTGTCTTCTGGATATTAATTGTGCCACCATTTTCCCAAAGAAAGCTTTTTTGGAGGATGTTTTGGTTCCAAAAGGAAACTTCTTTACTAGAGAATTTGCATAAAAAGGCAAGATGTAAATATTAATTATCTGTGTATTGAAGATTAAGACTTCTTGATCAATTCAACTTTCTGTTCAATGGCTAGTTTCTTAACCTTAGACAACTATGGCTAAAAAAAATCTATCAAACTTTTATTTGTTGTGTTTCTGCTTATGGGTTTGCATTTGTCATTTTTTCACATTCTTCCACTGTGCGCTACTTTAATCTTTTTTCCTAAATCTTTTTTTGTAAATAACTCTTTTTTTGGAGAACTGATGTCTTCTGGTTTTTGTAGGCAAATTAGTTATCCAGATATGTTCATATTAGGAGAAAAAGAGCTAAGCATGCACAATAATTTAAAAAAACAAATTCAGAGCAACTTAGTTCTGTAAAAAGATGGGTGGCTACCTAAGGAAGGTGGATCTTTGCTATGCAGATACGTAATCTGAGCATTCATAGGTCAGTTCACTGTTGTCTAACAATAGTAATATGCTTGTTTTACTTTTCAACATATTGCTTTTAATTCAGAAAAAGTGCATGAATCCCAATATTAAAATAAGGTTTTTGTATTATGGGGTAATTTTTCTCTGGACTAACAGTTTAAATACTTTTGTTATTGTAGGATACTGTGACTTGGACGTGGCAAGGATATACATTGTAAGTTGCTTATATCTGTTATCATTATATATAGATTTTATTCTAGTGGAGAAAAGTAAAGATAATTTATTTATTTACTTTTAAACCTTGTGTTTGTAAAACTAGAGATTTCTAATCAGATCCTTAAATCTTGCGACTGAGAAGTCTCTAGAGAGAGGGTAACTGTCCTGCCTGTTAACCACCAGAGTCTCTGATGTACAGAATTCGGGCTGTCTGTCATGTTCTAATGGGTCTCAAATGTTTATCTCCCAATTCTTAAGAAGCGTTCCAGTGACCCAGTTTGCATCCTGCTCAGCTTTAATTTTGCAGTTTCACTTGCATCGCAGATTCGGCATCACGCAGTGTCTCCACCGTTGTTTTACTCCTGCTTTAAGCAGGCCAGGGCAGTTGAGTCATATGGGCTGAAATAGTTGTGATTTGTCTGACTTGAGGTGAGAAAATAGCTCACTGAGCTTTCAGTTCCGTTCTTGGATTTTAAAGGCCGAAAAATCAGCAGTTTCTACAAACATTTAAGAGAGGAGAGGAATACGGTTTCACCATTAAGCCAGCTGAGGTGAAATAGGGCTTTGAAAAAACAGAACAGGTAGAATCTTGCTTTCTCTCAAGAAGGTCTTTTGTTTAGTTTCCACGGGAAAAGTCTGAGCCTGTTTGCCTTTTGGTGAGAGCCCTGTGAAGCACCGGGGTTTGAGGCTGCCCTGGGGCTCACTCACTGGTGCCTTTTGATGCTGTGATATCCAGAGTTCGGGTAACATTGTCAGTGGGTAGGTGACAACCACTTGGAAATATTTAAAAGGAAATCATTATTTGCCTTCAAGTACATTATGGGCTTCCCTCTATCCTTGTTAGACAATCCAAACAGCTTCTGAAAGTCGGATTTTTTTATACTGCGTATTTATTTTCTCCATTTTGTGTGTGTGTGAATTGCTTTGAAATAACAATTTAAATCAGGACAGGTGATTGATGGGCCCATTGCATGTGTTAATGTTTATTAACATATGAGACATTTATATTCCTGTTATGCTTTAGTCCTTGGTAATTCAAATTAAGTAAATGACACCAAAAGTAAAGAACGTACAAAGATGATGTGGATGCTATGTTATCTTTAGCTCTTCAGGAAATCAGTTTATTCATTTGGCAAGAATACATGTTGTATGTCACTGCTGATTTTGAATTCCTGGTTTTCAGCTTTTATACAAGGGAAAATTAGGAGAAAAAAAGTAGTATGAGAGCATTTTAGAAAAAGAAGTGCCTAAAAATTGGGTGGATAGTGTATTTCTATTTCCTGAGGTGTGTCGTTCATGGCGTCTTTACAAGTTAAGTTCCTTATGGAGATGGTGGCTTTGGGTTCACTGTGCAGTCAGTATGACTTTCTTTTTGGCTTTGCAGTAGTCTAGGTAGGTGTGAACGTCAAATAGGAGAAGTCTTTTCTGGAAGGGGGATCAGGGAAAGAAAATAGCGTGGTTTGGTTAATCTGGCCTTCTAACCTGGGAAGTGTGTGATAAAGGGAAAAAGAAAATAGGAGAGAGAATTCAGAAAAGAGGAAAAAAAATTTCATAGTTAAAGGTTTCTTAGGATGTATAAAGAAACACAAAATCTTCAAAGGGCCCAACTTTGTTCTGTCCAGATGCCACATTGCGTTTCCTGTGGTAACCCTCATTTCCACCTTCACCGTCTGATCTGCTTCGTGACGTGTTCAGCACTGTGTCTGTTCCTTCTAACTCAGTTTTCTCGCTTGCCCTTGCTCTCACTGCTGCTCTCCACTCCGATTCTAAGGAAGAGACTCTACACCAAAGGAGGTTTCCTCGGAGAGGAGGATAAACTTAGGAAGTAAACTTCGAGAGGGGCGGCTGTGGAAAAGCTGTTTTGTGTCAGTCGAAAAAGTGTTTGTTTTGTGTGTCATGTGGACAATGCAGGTTGAATGAGATCTTATGTGTGGTTTCATTTTTTTTTTTTTTTACAGCATTCAGAATTTACAGAACAGAATTATCTATTCAAATGCCTGAATTCCAAAGCTCAGTTTAAATAAATAAAGATTGATTTGCTTTATGGTAAATAATATGGATTGACTTGTTTGCTTGGGGTTGGTAGTGAAAGATTTTTTCCCTTTCAGATGGGAAGTTTGAGAACCAGTACTTATATGAGCAATTCATAATTAATTATGGAATTGGTAAATCTATTTCCTAAATTCTTTCCTTAAATCTCTTGTTTCAATTCCTAAATTGCTTGTCTTAGGTAAATCTCTTCAAGTAATTTTTACAGATAAATCATATTTTAATTTCTTAATAGCAAAAAAAGGTTGGTTGATTGTTTTCTTAAATATGTCATCTATTCCCGTTTGAGATTTCTGGGTCATCTGTCTAAATGAGGCTAAATAAAAATCCTACAGAAATCTTATCAGGGAGTCTAAATATATACCAAAAATCTGCAAGTAGGAACAGCTGTTCCCAAAATTATCTTTGAGGGGATTGGTTACAACCACTTGAAAGAAAGCCTTTGTCTGGCTTTACAATGAAGTTTAAAACTCTTCAGGAAATTTCCCCGTAACTAAAACATTTATTAGTAAGTGGGACAATTATGATAAAGTTTCTGCTTTTAAGGGAAGACCCACTGATTTTTTTTTTTTTTTGATATCAGAAAAGAGTTGAGTCATGTAATCTACTCAGGAGTTTCCTGTAAACACATTTACGTACCTTAAAATGGGGCCTTGGGTAGTTTCTCTGGGGACTTAGGCCTGTGAGTGTGAATTGTCAAGGAGATTCAAATGTGGGGTTTAGTCTGCAGCTCTGACTCACAAATACATACTTGGTATTGCGTTGGGTGGTTTAACTTTCAACTATCAGGAATGGTTGTCTGAGCCCAAGAAGTGTCATAGCTGCAGTGTAGCACCTATAAATGCAAAATGCAAATGACGTGTGACGCCGGGGTGCTTGTGCGTAAAGAAAGGATTGTTGAGTAACATTAGATGGTACTGCGTTACCGTATAAAGATGGCCTTCTCTTTTTTTCTCTTCAGCATTCAGCTTTGTATGCTTACTTTCTGCCAGCCCTTCACAAGGGTGGAAGTTGAGGTAAGTCATTCAAAATGTAGCCTTGGAACTTGAGATCTGGCTTTTCCTTTTGTTTTGAATTTCTAGTCTAGGGAGACCAGGTGTATAAAGGTTAGAAGTTAAATCCACCACATTTAACATGAGCCTGGTCTTTCACAAACTGCCTATCTGAAGCCAGGTTGTCAGGTGAAGCCCTTGGAATTATATTGGGAAACTCTTCAGAACTGCTGGGAACTTCCAGCATGTAACCGCCTGGCTGGCAGAGTAGCATCGCCTGCTCCTGTCTTTTGCTTCGTTTTATGCTGACCTCTGCCAAGCCGAGTGGTGTGCCTTCACATGCTGACAGAGGGAGCCCCACAACCCCGGGAAAAGTATGTTCTGTGAAAGCTGAGAAGTGCTACTCGGGGTTTTGAGAGAGACACCGAGCTCAGGGCCCTCACTTTTGGAATCACTCTGCACGTGGAAAGCCTGAGAGAATCATACCTGGGGGGCAGCTCGTGCCGCCCTCCACAGGGCAGTCTTCCCGTCTGAGATGCCGTGGCAGGTGGGGAGTCGGGGAGTAATTAGATCTTCCTGAAAATTCTGACCAGATTTTTAAGACTCTGAAGGCTGGTTCCAGCACGACTCTTAGATTCTAGGAATGATGCAGAATGGACCCCTGAACTCAGAATCTGGTTGGTTTTGGTAATACCCTCAGATAGCCTCTGAAGAGAGGACCAGAATAGTGGGTCCCCAGCTCTTGCTGGATTTTCCAACGGCATCCATGGATTGTGCAATGAAAACCTTAAGTCTGCATATGTGGTTCAGAGTCTTACGTGGGGGCCAGTACTCCACCTGACACAACTGTGGAATTTAAGTGACGAGAATATGATTTAATTTTGCTGAATAGCCTCGTCGTTCAGCCATTTCGAGGTTGTCAGCAATACCAAAGCACAGGAGGGCAAACTGTATTTCAGAATGAGTTTAACTTCAGTGGAATTCTTCTTGAGACTTGCAGGTTGTCTGCCTGCCTTGAAATATCTGTTTATTAATTATGTGCCACACCGCCCCACTTTTAAAACCAGCTCCGTATCTCTCAGTGTGACCAAAAGACGCTAGTTCTTGGAGTATAGTTAGATATTTCTAGAGAAAAAACTCATCCACGTCCTAATCCGTTTAGGAAGTACCAAGATAAACAAAATGAATCAAATTTCTTTTCTCAAGACTTCTCAGTGCCTTTGAAATGTTTGACGACAAAACCCCCTTTTCTCTGGATATTCCTTGGAGCCAATGTTCTACAGAATACACTTCAGAAAGCCCTGTATCATATTGTTTCTAAGCACTCTGAGCACTGCAGTTCCTTCTTTGATAGCTGTTCAGATAGTCTAGCCCTGTTTCCTTTCTCTAAAAGAACAGGAAAAACCCAACTTAAAACAGCCATGCTATATCTTCTCTGCAAATTCGGAAGATTGCGTGTGTGCGTATATCTGTACAAATCCACAAAGAATGTGCGTAGACCGGTCCATAGCATGCACACAGAACTGTAATTTTTTGTCTAGCAGGTGTCTCAGTGGCCAAACTGTATTACAACAAAGGTGTGCAAATTCCTCATTTTTTTGCCCTGACTACTGTTACCACATTTCCTTCCTGTATCCAGGCTTGCTTGCTTTCTTTTTTTTCAATTACAATATTTGCATTCTCCAGCTGCTTCTTAGACCTGTTTGGATAATATTTTCTGGCAAAGAAAAGAATGTATCCTTTGTTCGATAACTTCACAAACAAAATGGCTTTGAACCACTTTGAACCAGTTTAGTGGCTGGATGCGTGGCGATCTGACGGGTTAGGGTGTGGTGCAGAGCAAGAGGATAAGTTGTGGACTTCAAATTGAGTATCCTTATTTAATTGTATTTATTTTAGATTTATGATGCTACCTGACATCCAGAGGACTGCTAACTATGTTACCATTTTTGGATCTTTTGATTCCCCACTGTTCCGATGGAACTGGAAATGCCCCAGCAGTCCTCTGGCACTAAGTCTGTGGACACCCTGGCCTGACGGGCTCAAGAGCTGGGCGCTGTGTCTGGGCCTCCAGCCTTTCCACCACGTCTGAGGGGGCCCAGCCTGAGCGGCCCCACGTGTAGCTTAGTTAGAAGTCTCAGTGCACTTAGTTGCTTCAAATTCGATTATCTTGGTTGTTCACAAGCACTTTCCTCTCTTTCCTATTTCTTTAAAATTGGTGGAGAGCCTAGTTATTATTTTTAATGTATGTTTTTAGAACTTCTTGATTATTAATTAGGTAAACCTCATTCAAGATGTATTTCGGGAGACCGTGGTCTTAGTTTTATGGAGTGGATTATTAAAGTGCCCTTTAGATACTCTGCTGTCATGAGTCACAAGACATCTCAATATGTTGGCTGCAGTTTCCCTTAGTTTCGCAGCTCTCCCTTCATTAATGATGATTATCAGACTCTTGAATTCCCAGAATCATCAGATAGCTAAAATCTAGAGAATGTGATATTGTGGAATATTTCCTTAAAGCCTCTCCACCCTGCCTCTCCGTTTCCCCAATACAGAGGCTTATCTTTCGAAAGGTTATCATTTTCTTGACTCTTGGATTTAAAAAATACAATAAATTCCAAACCTCATGCCCAGTGTGATTGGTCTCCTGGCATCCTTGAACGATGATGCATGTGGGTCTGCAGAATGGTTCTACTGAAAGTTATTCTTTGAATCATAATGTGGCATCATGGGTGTCCTTAAGGAGTCTTGTAGTGATTACTTTTATCAGCCAACTATGTCACAAGTATCCTTAATAAGCATATGGTTTAAGGGCGTAGGAAATAAGATAACTAGTAGAGAACATCTCACCATATGATATAAATTAAGAGCCTGCTGGTTTATCTCATGAGAGAGAGTACATCCAGTCAGACTATGTAGCACTATGTGGGCGCAGCTAGTTTATGAATGGAAACATGGCGTGCACGTTGACTGCAGCGTCAGTTTCCTTCTTCATAGACTATAGCTCAATTTGCATTCAAAGCATGTTGACTTTAAAGCCATCTGTTATAATACAGATACATAAAAATGACTTGTCTGTAGGCATAGAGACATATTTTGCTTTAGGAAAATTCCTTTGCAAAGCTTCTAGTGAGCTTCTAGCGGCCACCATTAGACCTGCAATACTTTGTGATGGGCAATTCATTGTCTTAATAATAGAAACTTTTTAAAATTATTATTTAAAAAAATTCTGGTTTAGAAAAGGATTGTAATTAATAATGAGTGTTGTGGTCAACACCAATAGATTCATATCACTTTTAAAATCTCCAAAGAACTAATTGCTTAGGGAAGGTTCAAATACATTTATAGAGTTTATTTAAATCTCCAGAAACATTCAAATGATTTGTAGTTTTGAATCTAAAGTGAGCCTTTTAGAAAACCTCCATAGCACAAAGACACCCCCCTCCCCCACGCCTCATATGTACTTGTTCTAACAAAACTAGTTTCTCCAGGAACTTGCTAGAGTTCTGGAATTTGTAAATAGTAATCTAGAGATGGAGTGTTTGCAAAGAGGATTAGCTGGGGCTTTTGTTTCTGTTCTGCTACTACCTACCTGGATGTGCTGGAGCAGATTCCTTAAGCCTCTCTAAGCCTGTGGTCTTACTGGTAAATGGGGGGATAAGAGGACCTATTTTATAGGGCTGTGTGGGTTTCATAAGGTTACCTTTGTGCTGACACGTGGTAAGTGTTCAGGAAGCGTTAACTTTTATTTCCCTTATCATCTAGATTTTTGGGAAGGAAACAGCCAATGCCCATAAATACCTTCATTCTTTTGCATTTTCTCTTTCTGAAGACTTAAAGGGAGAATCATGGGAAGAAATGGAACTACGCATTTATTAAGATGCATCTTTTAAAATCCTTTTCTGTTACTTGGGAAAAAGAAAAGATGGATCGTAGTATCATCACTCATCAATCTTTCTCCTCATCATCACTTATTTAGTAGAAAGGAATGTGCTTGATGTGGTCAGGAAACAATGAATAAACCAGTTCTTGGTACTGTCTCCTCACGTGAAGGACTGGCTCTGGGTAATGGATAGTCTTAAACAATAGGCTGAGGAATTTTGGCTTTATCTTGTGTGCAGTCTAAGGCCCAGGAGGAGGTAGGCGGCTCTGGGACCAAAAGCACAAACAGGGGGTATTGGTGTGGGAAACACGTTAATTAGTCTCCTCTTCGGCTGGGTCAGGTCAGCATGGGGTAGGAGTAGAGAATGTTGAAGCGAGGAACAGGATGGAGCTGTGGAGCCAGGCCTGGGTGCGGTGGAAAAGGGAGTTGAAGATGTCCACGTGGGCTGTTGTAGGGACGAAAGACTTTCCTCTACCCCGCTGTGAAGTGCACTGACCACAGGCGGATCAACAGGTGAAAAGGCATACAAATTTATTAATTTTTAATATTATGTGCACCAGGGCATCACAGGAATAAAAAGGGAATACTCAAAAAAGTAGTGAGATTTGAAAGCTTATATGCCCTCTTAATGGGTGAAGGAAGGGAAGATAGAGGCCACTTAGGGGAGAGTAAATGATTTTTAGGAAAGATAGATGGGTCTTTAGGAGAACAGATGAGAGAGATGATAGAGTGTGATGAAGCTCGTCTGGGTGTAATGTCGACTTCTGGTCTGCTCTCCCCTGATAAGAGGCGGTCTTCCCTGGCTGGTGGAACTCCCCAGGAGGGTATTTGTGACTGCCGAGTTCCTTTTGAAGGATCAGACTTTAGGCGGATAAGGGGAGTTCGGAGAAAGCCTGTCCCCGCATTTGCTGTTCTTCAAGTACCTACAGCTCAAAATAATCAATATACCACACGGGCATACTTTGGGGTTGCATACCCTGAACCCCTGCATTGTCTCCTTTCTAAAGTTGAAAGCAAAGTGCCATAGAGATGAAAAGTGGAGTTGCAACCTGAGAAGCAGGGATCGTGTTTAAAACAGTCAAATATGATGCCAGCAGGCCAAAAAGGCTATAAAAGGGCTGCTGAGCAGCAGCGAGGTTCGGTTTAAGGAACTTGATCTTCGCCTGTTGCGTACACATTAAGGAAATAGACTCAGCATTAAGATCACATATTTTAGCACACCTGCACAGTTTAAAAAGACAAGGGAAGATCTTTGGCAAAAATAAAGCAAACAAAAAACTATCTATCTATCTGGAGGCAGTATGACCATCTTAGGAAGTAACATAATTTTCAAGCAGCTGTGAGGAGCCCTCTGAACGTTAACATGAATTTGTAACAGCTTCAACCAGTAAGGTTTCGTCCCTTTGTTCAGTGTCCCTCAGTGGTCTCTAACACGAGTGGGAAGGTAGGATCAGGAGAGGTGACTGAGGGTTTGGGGTCAGCACCGTGGGAGTGGCAGAAGTGAAAGATTTTAGGTGACAGGCCATATGGAAGTGTCTGACTCCCCAAGTCCAGTGGAGAGAGTCAGCCAGAGGTTGCCAGGATGGAGTGGATACAGAGAGCCCTGTAGGTCGCGGCAGTGACCATCAGGCCGTCGCAGTCTGTGCAGAACTGGGTAGGGGAGAAGTGATAGACAATGATGGAGAATGAGGGGAACTCACTGAAGAGCTTGTCAGAGGAGGAGGCTGGAGACATGTTTGCTTCCCTGGCGGGCGTGGAGGTGAGAGGACTATCTGTGGGCACACGAAGGGGCAGTGAGATCCGGATGTCAGATGGGTCATCAGTGTGGATGCTGGGGATAATGAGAGGGGATGAACGTGGAAGGGAGAACATGGGGTCCTGGACGGGGACAGTAATAGATAATGGCAATCACATTCCTCTCTCTCTGGTTGATCTTCCTTCCCCAGTAAAGGATGTGTTCCTGCTGTGAGCCTTGAATGACTTGTACAAAAGGGAAACATGGGATAGAGGTCAAGGGCTTATCCAAGGAGAGGTCACTTTTTATTAGAATTTCCACTGAATCGCTTCTCAGGAGGCCTAGGGGCTTCCAAGGGCTGTGAGTGTCAAGTCTAGGCTTTTAATTATTTTGTGCCCTCAGTGGGATTTTTTTCCTCAAGAGTAAAATGCCAAGCCAATATGAGATTATTAAAAATCTTGTCGTGGACAATATTACCTGCCCTGGAATGAACCAAACCCACAGTTCACTGGATTATGTTTGCTTAATAGTGTAGCAGCCACTTATTTTCAGGGTTTTCAGGATGTGCTTTTATGACCTACCAACCAAGTGTATTATAAATGATCATTTGGCTTCTTTTAAAAGTGAAGAATTATATGGCAATTTAAAACTTTATTATGTTATTTTGTTAGAGGTTTTCTGAACATTGATTTTCACGTGCTGTTTTCTTCCCTGGATTTCATACTCAGCAAATATAAGAGATTTTACTAGAACAGAATGGAGGGAATTTTTAGAAATATTTATTTGCAAAGCTAGTTTATTGCTCTGGATATGTAAGTGATGTGGGGACCTCTGGTGGCTTAGTTTATTTTTCCATCTTAAAGAATAACTGGACATGAAGTGGAAAGCTAGACACAGGATTCCAGTTGGAAAGGACCTTGGAGAACATCTAGTCAAACTTTTTCATCTGCGAGGAGTGGGAACTGAGGCCCGTAAAGGCTGTGAATGACTTTCCTGGAACCACACGGCAGAGCAAGGCGGCAGCCCTGCTGAGTGCCCTTTCTGCAGCCTGCCACGGCCTCCCTGGAGAGGATGTTAGTAACAGACGTGTGGATAGTGAAGTGACATGCAGCACATCCTGCTGTCCTGCCCATCCATTTTACCCTAAAAATGCCACTTCATCCGTGCTGTCCTCCACATCCTCACTCCCTCCGTTCGTGTCTGACCGTCTCTCCTAGGCTGACTGCAATTCCCCCGCTCCTTCCTCTTTGATTTATCCACTCCCCAGCTGTGAAGTTACTACTCAAAAGCTTGGACCTGGTCACGCTACCCACTTGCTCAAACTTCGTCTCTGAGTCACCATTGCCCATAGGCTTCTTAGCATGAGTAACAAGATGTGAAAACAGGTCCATGTGAGTCCATAAGTGGTGTTATTTTTACAGACCTCTCTTTTTCTTTCAAACTGTGGCCCTGACACTTGTGTGTGGCCTTCACTCTAAGGTTTATTCCCTTCTTGCCCCTTTCTTCACCTATCAAGTGGAAATGGTAGAACTTGCTTCAAGGAATTGTTGAGACTTAATTATATAAAACACCCAGCACACAGTAGGTGCTTATGAACAGTAGCTCCTATTGATGGACTGAGCTCCTCTTGTCATAAATCTCTACCCACCCCGTGGAGAGCTCTTGAGGGCAGGGACGTCGTGGTTATGTCTTCAGGGCTTAGTGCAGTGCCTGGCACACAGTAGGAGCCTAAACAGTATTTGTCAAATGGAAATGAGCCATGAGATCTTGAGCAAGTGGTTTCACCTTTGTGACCTCCAAATCCTTATGACTAAATCGAGAGGATTAATGAAATGAAATAATGCCTATAGAGCGTCTGGCACGGCGCCTGCTTCACAGTTATAATTCAACAAATAATAGCTATTGGTGAAATCATGTTTATCCTTAAAAAGCCAAGATCGAGCATTAGCTCTTCTGTAAAACCTGTTTGGCTGCTCTTCCCTGCCCCCTGGACAAATTAATCATTTCCTCGCTGCTTCATACTCCGGGAAGGATGGTTGAGTGGGGAAAACGAGATTTTAGAATCTGGTAGACCTTGGGCTGTGACTGTGACCTGGTAAGAAGGGCAGCAGTGCTCAGTGCTTGCTGCATTGTCTGTCCTCTGGATCCTCTGTGGATCTCCTTTAGAGCAGAATAGGGGCCTGTCAGTCTTGCCTGGCGTAGAGTAGGTGCTCAAAAAATATGTACTGATTTAAAAATTACACCCAGCCTTGTTCATGTTAGCAAACTATAAATAAAAATGAGGTCAGTACAAATGAGGCATCACAGAATATCAACTGGAGAAAAAAGTAAACTTTTAAATGATAAAGCAAAACATGGTGTTAAGCAAAATCTAGAAAGCCAGTACTAAGGGTTTAAAAAAAAAGCAGAAGAAATGACAAAACAGAGTTTGATCAAATGATAAAAATGTGGCTGATATGGGAATGGATGGAGAAGACAAACTATAAAAGACAAAATAATGATAATAATAATGATATTTCACACAAAGAGGTGAAAGTAGAAAGTGCAGCTCTGAGAATAAGATCTTAGTAGCTATAGCTTTAAGCTTCCAGAATTCCAGATGTTAGCTCATTTCATCCTCACAACAGCCAGGGAAGTAGCTGATCATAGCCCTGTTTTGTTTTTGTTTTCTAGTGAGGTGCCTTTAAAATGTTTTTTAATTTATTTTTTACTTTTTTTTTTAGCAGTTGCAATGTTTATTATTAAATAATACGTTGGATGACATACGCAGTTCTTTTTAACTCATTCTGCAGGCACATGCCCCAGGATCTTTGCACTGACTATCCCACACTGTTAAATCCACTTCCCTATATGACCTAGGGATAGTAGTTCGTGGTTAGGACCCCAGGATCCCAGCCCTCTTTTTAGAGCTGAGGCAGTTCAGAAAAGTTAGAGGGCGGACCAGTTAACACACAGGCTGACCTGGGGCTTGGACACAGACTCCTGAGCCCACCCTCCATGTTCTTTCCCTGACATCATATAACCTGCACTAGAAAAGCAGGCGCTTAATATAATGATGGGTTATAAATTAATTTATTCAGCATTTAATGTTTGAGACCTAACGATTGTAATGGAAGGATATATTTGTCTTTCAGTTTATGCCAGTTCAAGTACCAAATGAAGAAGAAAGAAATGATCCGGTCCTTTTTGCCGATAGAGTCCGGAATTTAATGGCTCAGTAAGTGTCTGTATGTGATTATAATCAGTAAATAGTTTGAAAATTATTGGTAAGCGACATTTAACATAGTTTTAAGGTTTCATTGTTTTTTTTTTTTTTTCTGAGGGCCTCATTCCCCAACTCGTTTTGGTAAATACAGTAATGTGCCCAGGAACGTGGTCAGTCAGACAGTCTTGTAAATATTTCCCCAGCTGCAGCCCCAAACTAATGGACATGTGTCTTTGTTGGAAGCGGGGCCAGGAGGGTACAGTTACCTGAAGAGACCGGCCAGTGCCATCTGCGGGGCGGATTCTCCCAGGCTGGCCCATCGGCCTCAGGCAAAGCCTGGAGATGGTCTCAGCACTTCCTATTAGGGCCGCCTGCTGTCCCCTCAGCCTCCAAGCTGCCAAGGCTGGGTGTTCCGAAGGCATGGATGATTCTAGCACCAGGAAGGAGAAAGTTTGCAAGGAAATGCAATAGATGCATAGAAAAGGGAAAAAGTCACCCCCCTTAAGGGATAGCTGTCAGCTTAGGATTTAGAAACTACAAAACATAGGCAAATGTTTTCCTGCACTTAAGGGAGTTTTAACTGGCTCCTTGTCTAATTGGATAAGTCACCTCTCGTCCTGTAATGAAGGAATGTGTGTGGTACTTTCCCACCACCCAGGCAGCCCCAGCGCCCTCCAGGGGTGCCCCTCCTCCAGATACACTGCCCTCAGGCCTTCCCCATGTAGGTTTGGAGCTAATAGGCCAGCAGTAGTTAATCTCTTGTAAAAATTCAGTGGGAACTCTGCATTTAGCTTCATAGCTGAATTTGGCTGTCTAGCAAGAATATATATTTTTCACATATATGTATGCACACATATATATTCATGTTAATATATATGTATATATACAAGAATATATATATATTCACATATATACGTATATATTCGTATTCATATTTCACAGCAGAATAACTTCATTTTCAAAAAGGAATAAACGTTGAGCAAAAAAAAAAGTGTTATTACTGTGTACTTAGCTTTACTTGTTTTATCTAGTTTCTAGACCAGCGACAAAGTTTGCTTTTCTATTGTTTTCTTCCTTATGCTTTCATACTAGCTTATGTCCAAAAGCCAGGAACGAAGATAAGTAGTAGGAAGTGAGAGAATTTATATCAGATAGTTTGACTTCTCAGCTTGTGCCTAGAACCAGTGGACGGACTTGTTTGGCAGGCTTTCTCTGAGTTTGGAGGCATGGAGGTCCACGGGCCGGGGAGAGGAGTCGGAGAGGCCTCAGGGAGCTGCGCCCCACTGCACAAGCCCCTCCCAGGCTCCTTTTCCTCGTGTGCGAAGTGGGAATTGTAGTCCTTGCCTGCCTTTCTCGTGGTTGGGGTTATTCGGAGACTCACGTAGGAAAGTCCATGAGAAAAGCATTTGAAAATAGTGAGGAGCGAAGTGATGTGAGGCAGTGCTGGTCCTAGTACTGCTGAGTACTTACCAAGTGCTGTGCTAGGTCTTTTCCTCGTGTCGTCAGTCTTAGTCCTCACGGCAGCTCCTGAGGCAGGCGTGGAAACTGAGACTCAGGCGGCACGTCGTCGGCCCAAGATGGTAGCCGGGAGTGAGGGTCTGGGCTGAGACTGGAGTCCACATTTCCTGCTACCTAAGCCCAAGATCTTAACTGTTATGCTGTACGGTTTATTTAAAATTTTTATTTTCCTGAAACATTTTTAATTTTTATTTTTTTCCTATATATCCTTACAGCAAAATGTATATTTAGCAAAAGCAGCCTGATTGCAGATAGAAAAAAGTGACTTATTCTTGCGTTCATTGAGAATTTCATGTTCTCAGCAATGACTCAACGAAATCAAGTATCGTCGAAGACACAATTTTATGATTTTCACTGAATATTTCTGAATAAAAATTTAGTGGGGAAGGACCTTCAGGAAATGATTTTATGTGTCACACAGCCTTTCTTCTTGGTATTCAGTGTTTTTTCAAGTTCTTATTCATATACGTGTTTTCCAAATCTAGGTCACTATTATTAGATCTCTGAGCAGGAAGGAGGTGGAGGGGCTTATGGTCTCCTTTGAGGATGGAGGATGTTTAGGTTTGGAAGAAATATGAGCTTCTTATGGATTCTCTTCGGTATTTTTAGAAGATTGCTATGTAGCGAGAAGGTGATCCTCAGTTTTAAAAGATGTAAAAATGCAGATGGCTAGTGAGTTGAATAGATTGTTCCCTTACAGTATGTACAGACGCCATTCATCTTTTGTGACGGTACTTCCGCTGGCATTTTATAATGAGTTTGTCCTTAGAATAATCCTCTGGAGTAAGGAATTACTCCAGTGTCCACATGAGAAAAGAGGAGCTTACTTTAAATGCCAGAAGGTCCACAGCTGGTAAAGACTCCACCAGGGCTTCAACCTGAGTCTTCTCATTATTTTCCATCGACTGAAGCCAACTGTTATTATTGTTATAGTTAAAACACAACTCAAAAATGATCAGCTCACAGAAGCATGCAGACACAAGGAGATTAACGTGGCCACAGTAGGTCTGTGAAGTAGAGAAATATGTCTCTTTGGCAATAAGAAGCCAAAGCTACTGGTTTAAAAGGGAGTAAATACTTTTCCATTGACTGTTGTTTGTTGACCAGTTCGGGCCTCATGAGAAAATCATTCCCTTTTTCAAAAACATTGAATTATTTGCTTTTTCATCCTCTTAGAGCTCTGGGGATTCCAGTAACAGACCACACCTACGAGGACTGCCGACTGATGATTTCAGCAGGACAGCTCACGTTGCCCATGGAAGCTGGGCTGGTGGAATTTACCAAAATTAGCCGGAAGTTGAAGTAAGCATATTTTAAAGTCACTACACTTTCATAAAGGTGTCCAAAAGACCCCTGAAATCCTGTATGTTTATTTTCTCTGCTTTCGTTAATGCTCAGCTCTAGAACCTAGGTGGTGTTTGTTAAAGAAGCTAGGGGTGTGAATTTATCTCCCATTTAGTTCATCTGGTTTTGTCTTTTCAAGAACAGTTGACTCAGAAATATGTGTATTGGTCACAGGAGGAGACCAAGCGATAGTCAGTGTGGGTCAGCACACATCTGCCTCCCCACTCGGGAGTGTCTCGGCGTGGTCAGCCCTGCTCCCTGCGTACAGGAAGGGTGACGTCGCTGGGTCATACTGATATGTGGTGGTCACAACTGCTCACGTGAAATATGAATTGACTTGTAGAGTAGCAGTTGTGACTGTCACTGAATTTTAAACACTTAAACCCTAGATCTACCTTTATCTTCTGGGTATGTAATTTTTTTAAAAAGGTAAAAACACTCCTTTGTGCTTTTATGATCTGGTTTAAACTATTTAGAATGTTCCCTTTGAACTCTCTGGTATGAAAAGTGTAGCCCCATGTGCCCCTCTTATTGCAGTTCATTCTGTTTCACCCTGTTAGGGATTTGCAGAACCCATTGACTAATAGACCTTGGCCTCCTCTCTGGGAGGGAGCTGCAGAACCAGTTACCCTATTCAAGTTCAATATTGAAAATAGTATTTTGATAACCGATAGAGCAAATAGTAGTTATATCTTCTAGGTAACAAAAATGTTTTGCTATGTTCAGAAATGCTCCTATAGATTTGAAAAGTTTACATAGTCACTGCAATTGCATAGAGAAAGAGTATATGGCAAGCCAGCTGTTTAATGCTGTAAGACAAAGACAGGATGTGCTGTGAGCCACAGTATATTTTCCAGTGTTTTCTAATTAATATTAGAGGAAGTGTGTGTAATCTCATGAATCTCCCTATTACAACATTTTGTGAAATATGAGTTTATTATGAGCCTAAAAACTCCATGAAAGCAAGAATTGTATTTTTTTCAACAGCTTAGTAAGTACTATTGACTTACTAAGTGATATTTAGATTAAAATGTGATTTCTTATTTTCTTCTCATGAGTCATTTGTTATTCTGCCACATTGTCGTTCTTCTCAGTTACTTTTCTTTCCCTCAGATATTTGGGATAATTACAATTATGCTAGTATCCTTTAAAAAATTAGAAGCCTGTTTACATGTTCAATATGCACTTTAAAATACCCATTTTATTCTCCTCCTCAAATTTAGCACTTCAAATATTTTTCCCTCAGACAAATGAATAAAACAATGTTCATAAAATGTCCATGTGGATTATACAAGCTAATGACATGTATTTATAATTCTTTGTTTGTTTAGATTAGATTGGGATGGCATTCGTAAGCATCTGGATGAATATGCAACCATTGCAAGTTCCTCAAAAGGAGGAAGAATCGGAATAGAAGAATTTGCAGAATATTTGAAGTTGCCTGTGTCAGATGTCTTGAGACAACTGTTTGCACTCTTTGACAGGGTATGTTAAAATTTAATCTTTACCATGCAAACGTTTTTGCTCTGCCGGTCCCCACAGAGCAGAAATCAATATGGCAGGCACTGGAAAAACTTGTTAGGTCACTATTAGAAGAAGCAAGAGCGAACCTGTGGCTTAATTGCATGATTTTGTTCTTTCCCCGTAATAGTTCTAATAGTAGTGGTAATAATAATAAAATAATAACAATTGTGTGTGTATGTGTGATGCAACAGTTATGATAGTGTCTATTTATTTTAAACACCTGGTCAGAAATAAATGTGGTTCTGTAACCGTGTTTATAATATGGAATTGGAAAGGTTTATATAACTGGCAAGAATTTAAGAAATTATGTCAAAATTCATACATTGATGACGTGGGTGTTACTATTCTATTCTGAAGGTTTCTGGACTTTCCCCAAAATGTGTGAAGACCAAATAGATTCTATTTTCAAATAACGTTTTATAACAAAGTTTTCAATTAAAGCTTCGCCATCTGCCATTATATTGGGGATACAGTTTTCTGCTTATGAATATGTAAGTATATCCAGTTAAATAATTGTCAAAAGTTTCCTTAGGAAAAATGTTTTAAGAGTTTAAGTTGTCTATTTTTTATTTGTTTTTTAGTATATAAAATTGACAAGAAGATTCACTCTTTTGGTTACAGTTTTATGAATTCTAACAAATGCATGGAGGATTATAACTACTACCACATGCAAGATACGCAACAGTTGCAAAAAAAAAATTCCCTGTAGCTCTCCTTTTGTAGTCAAGCCCTTCTCCCCCAAACCCCTGGCAATCACTCCATCCATATAGCTTTGCCTTTTCCAGATGCCATATAAATGGAATCATACAGTGTCTATCCTTTTGAGAGGTTTCTTTCACTTAGTATATTGCATCTGAGATTCAGCCATGTTGTTGTGTGTATCAATAATCTGTTCCCTTTTATTGCTGACTGACATTCCCTTGTATGGATGTACTGTACTTCGTGCCTGCATTCATTCCCCAGTCGAAGAACATTTGGTTTGTGTCCACTTTGGGGCAGTTATGCATATAACTGTTCTAAGCACTCATGGATAGGTTTTTGTGTAAATGTAGCTTCTCATTTCACTTGGATAGAGACTTAGGATTGTGATCTCTTTATTTTCCCCTGTCTGAGAGTGACTATTTTGCATTCAGTCCTGAGGAATATTTTTGTTGTATATGGAATTCTGAGTTGATGGTTCTTCCCTTTCAGCAATTTAATACTGATGTCCTCCTGCCTTCAGGTCTCCGTGATTTCTCTGCCCTGCTGGGTTTCTTCAAGTTTTGGCTTTCCTCACTAATCTTCCTGCTATGGTATTTTGTCCAGAGGTAGCTGCTTTTGGTATTTTGATCAAAGTTTCTAGTTGTCATCAGAGGCAGAGATAGGCTCAACTGGCTTATTCCATCCTAGCAGGCACCGGAAGTCCTGGTTGTCTCTTAACTACTGGGAAAATAGATTTTGCAAAGTAATTATAGCTTGATGTCAGAAACCAGGACGGGGCTTTTTTTCTTTTTTACCCAGAGCACGCTAATGTTCCTAATGACCTATTCTGTGGTCTCTTAGACCGACTGTTCTTTAACATGATGCAGTCAGATAGCCTTCTTCTGGAGGGACTGCCCAGGCCTCTCTTCTAGGCTGGCTTGCAGCCTGCCAGTTATCTTTCCTTGTGCATGAAATGATACTGTGTCACTGCAGCAACACTACTATAAAGTGTAATAAAGATTTAGGGGAGGGGAGAAGTAAATTATTGGATGTAACTATGTAAGTTGGGAAAATAGAGGATCTTGTCACTTGTGCTATTACGAGTCTTTCTGTGAGATCTATGTAGCGTCTTCCAGTATGGCTCTAGAAACCACGCAAGTCATTTTAAATAAAGTTTCTATAAAAATGAACTTGGCAGACAGGGCGGAATACGGCAGGGACATACAAATAGAGACAGGAGATGGAGAAATAGGAAGTGACATGAAACAGACCGAGGAGGAAGTTTAGAGCAGACCTTAGACTTCTTGCTCACCAGGATTTCTAATCAAAATTGAAAATCGTCTCTGTAGAGTTTGCCCTGTCTTTCAGGTGTCAAACTGTCATAATTAGCAGTTACAGGATTGTTATGGCATCAGTTCTGGCTTTTGATGGGTGCCGATAACTGCCAACAGCCTCGTTGTTGCTATAGCACTGTTCACTATGGGAAGCTCTGGGTGTGGAGAAGGGAGTATAAACCAAGGATTCAAATAACTCCTAGTGAGCCCAACTGACTCACTCTGAGCCAGAGAATATGGGTGGCTCCAGGCAGTTAGGGGACCTATGAGCCTTTATAGCCAATTCGATCAATCCTCTTTCTGCATGGACTGCTTCAGTCAGCTCACCTATCACTATCACTGTGAGTTTTCTTCGCTTTTTTGTATAGTGTGACTTGTCTTTAGATATAGACCATGAGCTGTGTTTTAAGGCACTTTTTTTTTTGATTTCCAGCATACCGGGAGGTAGAGAAAGTAGTCTGGAGAATTAATGACCAGTGTGTTTGACCTTCCTTTCTTTCCTCCTTTCTTTTTTCTTCTCTCTGTCTCCTCTGTGTGTCTCTCTTTCCTTTGTGGTTTTTAACATATCTGCATCTCGGTGCCTGTGAAGATTTGCTTTGTTTGGAGAAGTTGAATGATGCAATGGCTGGCACGCTCTGTACCCATAGCCACTTCCATGCTAGGCTTGTTTTATCAGTCTCTTTAAGGGATTTAGCTGGGGATTGTTTGATGGGAAAGACAAGGAAGTTCAGTCACTTGGGTTTGTTTCTCTCAGAGTAGCTTATCTTGCTAAACTCAGTGCTTAATGAGGGTGGCGCTTTGGGGGCGGGGAGGGGGGAGGAAGGGCTGGAGTGAGAAAGGGCGGGGTGTTCCTGTTGCACTTTGAGCGGCTATACAGTTTTGCAGCACAGACTGCTCCTATAAGCCCCTCCTGTGTTCCTTTCTCATTTATCTGCTCTGTCCTCTCTTACTCTCTTCCCAAGTCTAGTGCAATTGTGGTTGGTGTTTGGGGAGTGGAGAAAGCCCTGAACCTCTCTCCGTATTCCTTTACTCTTTCTTCCCACATACGTTCCTGGCTAGTCTACAAAAACTTCATAATGGTTTTCGTCTCAATTTGTCCTAAAAAACAGTATATATGTTATTTCAGCTCCCTCTGATATTCTGACATGTTCTTTTAGATTCTCAGATATTTGATGGCAGGTAAGGTTCAACAGAAAGGTGGCATTTGTGCTCCAAAGCAAGGCATAGTTCACTAGTTCGGGATAATTTCCTTTGGAGAGGTCATATCTCCTTAGAAAACAAAAAAAAAAGAAAAATGCCCCTTTTCATCTTTAGGTTTAATTTAGCTTTTTTATTTTCATGAATGTATACTGAACTCTCTGGATCAGAGGTGAATTTGGGATTGGTCAAATGTCCAGAGGAGTTAGCGTTGAGGACTGAGATAATAGTTTAAAGCAGTGGCTTCTGAACATTTTTTATATTTATAATTCAGTTTGAAATACCAGATTTTTTGTCAGCACACTTGAAAGGATTTAAACACACTTAATGGGATTAGGAAACAACTTTGGCTAAATCAGAAATAATTATAACAGTCATTTTTACAGTTATAACAATGTCTCGCAGTGTCCATAACAGCATCGTTATTCATTTCGTCCTCCTTCAGCGCTGTGTTATTGTGCAGAGCTGTGAGCTACGCTGCCAGCAGTAGCTTACGTACCTGTGAGACTGGGTCCTCCACTGTGTCAGTGTGCGTGTCATCTTTATTGCTAGCTTGACAATATACCATGTTGCCTGCCTCTCGCCTCTTCCTAGTAGTGTGTCATGTCTCCTCTGCACTACATCTCATGATACATTCAGCTTACTGTTCCATCTGAGATGCATCACTTAGCAGTATGCGTCCTCACTGGCAGCAAAGCTATGTTTCAGGGGTCAGCACACTTTTTCTCTAAAGAACCAGATAGTAAATATTTTTGACTTCGTAGCACATATGGCCCCAAACTTTCAAAACAACTTATACAACTTAGTAGAAATGTTCATCTCTTGCACTCAGAAAGATTTCTGTTTATTTCCAATCACTTAAGCCATATAAGTGCCCTGTCCTAACTCTCAGCATGAGCAGAAGCTCTGCATACCACAGCATCCTACCTTCTCTAACAGGAAAGGGCAAGCAAGGGTGCTTGTTATTATTGGCACTCATGATATAACACTTGAACTAATATCAAGAACAAGGCAGACAGGAAGGACTCACGATAAAGAAGTGCATTCATTCCACATCTTGTGAAACAGTAATAAAAGATCTGCAGATGTTTACAATAGCCAAAAATGCTGGATTGTCAAACTGCTCAAGTATACACACACTTTTCCTGTCTAATAGTTAAACAAAGTACATAGTAACGCCAGAAGAACTAAGTACCAGTTACAAGGCAGAAGTGGGCAAAATCATGACAGTTTTCATGATTTTTTTTTACAGAATGAAAATAGTAACCATCTATCTAAATGTTATTAGTCTACGGTACGTGCACAATGGTATTGGTAAAAAGAGAGAGTGAGCGTATGCCAGACTATAGGTGAGAAATTAGAGATTAGTCTCATCTGTGAAGATGGAAGATAAAACCACTAATTAGAACTGTGGAGGATGTCAACAAGAGGTAGATTAGTGAAGTATAGAGATGCAGCGTGGTCCCCTTTAAATCAGATGTGGAGTATCCTACAAATTAACAATGGTCACCGTAAGCACCGACTGCAATCCTTCAATCCAGTCCTTGAACCTTACCAGCATTCTTTGTTTTCATCAGTTTAGGAAATATAGCAACGGTTGGCAAACTACAGCTGATGGACCAAACCCAGTCTGGCGCCTGTTTTGCAATAAAGTTTTATTGGGACACAGCCATGCCCATTCGTTTATGTATTGTCTATGGCCTGCTTTCTCACTACAGTGGCGGAGATGAATAGTTACAACAGTGAAGG